AGCGGCAAAATGTTTATACAAGAAAATTACAATGCAAATAAGGGGAAAAGAAAGGCCCAATATTGTGATTTGGAGGGTCACGATGATGTTATTTGTAATTATAACCAGCACGGCTCCTCAATTGTAACAGAACAATTAACTATACCAAGCTCAAGCCAACACTTGGATCTAGTCGGCAAAGCTTTATGCCGAAAACATTATAACAAGTATATTGTAAATGCAAAAAAAAAAAGACTCAACTAACTAATACATGCACTCATCCCAAACATAGTACCTATTTAACCATGGCTTGGAAAGGTGAAGAGATGAAATTCAGGAAGACTCCAGAACAGTTAATTAGATTTTTCCAACTGCCAAAAGGAGCGAAAATATACCATCATTGCTTATATAAAACAGATATGGATCCTGAGTATATTAATTCACTTGATTATCTACCAGCAAAAAAAAAAATTTCAAAAGTTTCAAAAGAAAGCATAAGGCGCTTTCAAGGTAGGTCATATGTTCTGGGTGGTGATGATATTTATTTTGCATCTGAATTTCAGGAATTGGAGTCTGCATATCATGAAGTATGTAGAGAACTTGATGAAGCGAAATTAGATAAATAGTTTTTATTTATTACCTTTTTTTTTTAATTTTTAAATTATTTTTAGAGCTAATTCCTTTGAGTAAAAAGATTAAGCTTATGGTGGGGGTGTTGTACACAAGACAGTGTGTATATAATGAGAAGCCCATTTTTAACCCGGATGAGTTTAAAAAAATACTTGAGGAAGCCGATCCATCATTAAGAGGCTTCTTTGATCAATTAGTTGCTGGAACTAATCCACAAGCTAAGAGCCACATGACTAATGAAAAAAATAAAAAAAGATTGGTTTCTTTTTGTTATTTTCTTGCAGGACTTAACAACAAATTTATTAATAGTGTTAAGGCAGAGGTCAGATTTTTGTTAGATACATTCGAAGCATCTTCGTCGGCAATTGAGACCTTGGCTAGTGTGGGCTTAACAGTAAGGCATGAAACTATTGCAAGACAGAAGGCTTAACAAGTAGAAGCATATATGGATACTGTGAGTAGTTTTTTACTGAAAAATGTAAGTTATATAATAGTTTTATTTTAATTATTTTATTTTTTTTATTGTTTTTATTTTAATTTAAAAATAACATTAATAATTGGCTTTATATATAATATTTTACAGAATGATAATTTAATTGTTCTTAACGTGAATGATTTTCACAATATCCATGAATATTATCGTAGTGATACAACAACTACGTACGATATCGGCCATTTTGTTACAATACTCTTAAAGGCATTGCCTGAAATGGCTTCTGTTCCATATTAAAATCCAAATCAAGAAAAGAGTATTCATAACAAAAAGGGTATTAATTTAGATATTATTGTAGAAAAATGCATACTTCCTTTTTTTTCCTAATTTATGGCTAAGTTATACAGGGCAAAAGGATGTGTTTGCTAGTTTGGTGTCTTTACAAGAAACATACGATGAAAGAGTTGAGCGTCTTTTAGTTCATAGCTACAATGATAGAATTGAGCAATGCCAGGTAGATAGAAGCATGGCAGATACGAAATTGGTCAATTTAAAAAAAGGGTCTTTTCATTCAACTGTAGAATATGTGGATGCTCTTAAAGTCTTAATAAATATTCCTGAAGCAGAGATTTATATGAGGACACAGGTATTAATAGCACCTATGGATTATCCAGGACAACTTAATGTATGTCGTGCTGTAACCCATCACATCAAGTCTGGAGATTCTTCTGAAATACTGGAGCAAATTCTGCATGTTGTTCTGATGATTGGACCCTTGCATGTATCCTTGAATAGCTGTGAAACATTATTTCTTTTAAATTATTAATTTTTTGACTTGTTCTTTCACAGGATCTTTGGAAATAACAAGGTATTGGTACAAAAGCCAAAGCCTTATAAAATTAATATACTTTTAGAACTAGCATATCAAGGCTAGTCTAAAATTCATTCAATAGTTCTAAGAAAATTTGAACATTCCAAAGATCCTGAACCTAGGTATTTTATTAATTTGTTGGATAATATTGTTCCATTAGTTTTAGATTTTTACCCTATAATATTTAGAAGCAGAAATTGGCAAGCATACTTAAAAGCAATGTTTTGCGTTTGGACTGTTTTTTACCAATATAATTGAAAACACTAATAAATTGCCTTTAATGTTTTTAAGTGATTTTTTTTACTGGTCCAGTACTAATTACCCTATTTCACAAACTCTTACAGATTCTATTCATGTTTTTAACGACTATTTTGTGGAAAATTTTCACAGCTCACTTCGGCAGCAAATTAATAAGTCAAACACGGCAAAGCAGATCATTCAAGAGGCACAAATAATTGATCAGACGCGCGGTAGCAACTCTTTTACCAATACGTTTGCTAAAAGCCATAATATCAGATATTCAGCAAAATAGCTAGAATATCTTGAAAAGTGTTCTGCACTTTTTTTACTAAATTTCTTTACAGGTGTCTCCAGAAATCTTGGTAGGTCAAAAGCTATTTATATTCGAATCCAAAAAAATATAAACTCCCGACGTTAAAAACTCAAGCTGATAGAGCAATATTATCAATGGCTTGGAATGAACATATTCCACAAAATAATAAATTTTGTGACTTAGAAGATTGTACAGATTCTCGTGAGGTAGGTTGCATTCTAATCTGTGGACATGCTTACCATTTCGATTGTTTTTTTGTATTAGGAAGCCAATGTCAATAATACCTCACCATCGGAATTGAGAAGAATTGTAAGGCTTTTCAAATAACTTGAATTCTTTAGATAAAAAGTCAAAAAACAAGAGTGACAAGAGTGAAGACGAATTGGATATTATTCTAGCCGTTGATAATACCAATAATGATAATTTTTTGTTGGATAAAAATGTTGATTATAGTAATATAGATGCACTTATAGAAAATGCCAAAGATTCTTTTTCAAATGCACATTTTTAAATAGTATTGTGGTTTAAAATATGGATTTTTATTTTAATTAGTTTACCAAATGTATGCAATATACAAGTTTTTATTTTTAATAAAAATAATATTTATTTAAATAAAAAAATTTTTATTCATTACGATTTTTTTAAATACATCAAAGAAATTTAATAGTTTAATGGTAATTAAGGAATAATCATTTTATTAAATTATATTTTTAAAAAAAGCCTTTATATACATTCCATGCTCATGTCTATTTCACATAATTAACACCCACGCTATTTCACATAATCAATACCCATGTCTATTTCACATAATTAACACCCATGCCTATTTCACTCATTTTGTAACCACAAAACTTAACACCTACTCTCATCTTATATTCTTGACTCTATTCACCCATCTATCCTCAATGCACCAAGAACTTAGGCCAACATACTAAAATTGAAGAGTGAATTAAAAAAAAAAAATTCAATATTAACTGAATAGTCACATCTATTTCACATAATTAACACTCGTTTTATAACCACAAAACTTGACACCTACTTCCACCTTACATTACGACTCTATTTTTGCATTTTAACACCCATCTATTCTCAATACAAGAACTTAGGCCAACGTACTAAAATTGAAGAGTGAATTAAAAAAAAAAAAAAAAAATTCAGTATTAATTAAATAATTATCTTCAACTAAATCTATTTGAGAAAGGTGCCAATAACTTAGCTGGTAGAATAATTTGAAACTCAAAGCAGTTTAAGAACAATAAAATAGGAGAGTAAACTTCTTCATTATAGCTTTTCATTAGCTACTGCGTCCTGTATGTGATTCGAATTGATTTCTACAGTCTTGTTCAAATCTAAAAGTTCTAACAGATCTCACTACATTCAGTACATTTTGCTTAATATAACAAGCGAAATAAACACTTCTCATCTAACTTCCGAATTACTTTGCGGATTACCGAATTACTTCGACAGTTTATAAAATAGGTTCTAACCTTTCTATTTTTTTTTTGTCTTACCCTTGCCGAATTTGTACTCATAGAGCCAAATTCATTTTTGTGACAGAAATCGTTACTTTAATAGGACTTTATTAAGATGAGATGATCTTCAAAATCAGCCAATCATAATAAAGCCTGCTATGCTACTATCACTAATAAAGTTAAAATTATATCAACAATGCATATTAGTATAATGTATGTGTATTCGCACTAAACTATTTTACATATAAATATCTAAATTTATCTCAACAATCAAAAATTGATTAATCATTGATATTTACAAATCAAAAAATCGTTTCTAAGCTCCAATTTGATATGGAAGGACCCAGATAATTCACTTACCCCGAATCGTATCTGGAATATGGATAAAACTGGCTTCATAATAGCTCTCAAGGTTCAAAAAGTTATTGCCACCAAAGGCTCCTGCCAAATCCATAAAGTTGCTCATAGTAACTCGCATGACCACATTTCTGTTGCACCGATGATTTCAGCTTCTGGTAATTATATTTCTCTATTAATTATATATAAAGGCATTTGTACAATTCCTGGTTTGTTAAATGGTGCTCCATCTAGTACGGTTATGGGTTTTACCGACTCAGGATATATGTATAAAGAACTCTTCCAAATGTATATAGAACATTTTATAAGTTCAATTCCTTCTTGTCGTCCTGTTCTTTTAATGCTTGATGGCCATAGCAGCCATATAAATTATATGAGTGTTAGTTATTGTTATGAAAATGGAGATTTACTATATACGCTTTCATCTCATATAATGCATATTCTTCAACCATCCGAACTACCTTTCGCCAAACTTAAAACCGAATACAGCAAAAATTGCGATGAACTTCATCACATAACTGGCGGTGAGTTGGTAACTAAGTATATGTTTGCTAAAATGCTTGGTTCTGTATTTATAAAGACTTACACTCCTGTGACAATAGCTAATGCATTTAGAGCTACAGGAATTTGGCTCTTTAACCCTAATACTATTAGCCCCTATCTCCTTGCTTCTTCTTTATCTACTAAACGAATTGATATATTACCTCAACAAAATGATCTATTTTTAACATCTTCTTCTTTACCATCTTCTTTAATATCTTCTTCCTCTTTATCATCTTCTTTCTCTTTATTATTATCTTCTTTCTCTTCATTGTTATCTTCTTTCTTTTTATCATCATCTTCTTTCTCTTTATCATCATTTTCTTTCTCTTCATTGTCATCTTCTTTCTCTTCATTGTCTTCTTTACCTAGTACTGACAAGAAGATTAAATTATTAGAAGCAGAAATTCATGCTCTAAAAAAAGAGAATATGCTACTAAAAGAAGAACTTGAAATATTTAAAAATCCCAGTACCTGTGCATTAAAGCTGGCCTTTAAGTATTCAAATTTTCGAGTTCCAACACAGACAAGTAAATCAGAGTCTAATCAGCCGAAGAAAAGAAAGAACTTCCCCTTCGCTCGACTTCTTACTAATGAAGAATCTCTACAAATGTTAAAGAAAATAGATGAGTTAGCAAAAACTATAGCAGAAGGTATTAAAAAAAGAAAGAAGAGGCAGCCCAAAAATGAGCTGACCGGGAAGCTAAAAAAAAAGAAAAAAAGAAGAAAATGAGAGAAAAAAAAAAGAACAGTTACAAAAAAAAAGAAAAGATAATCATGTATAATTATCGTTATACTACTTATTTTAATATATATTATGCGTATTATATAATCCTGTAATACTATGTTACCGATATTAATTCGACCCTATCCGATGTGCGTCATAATACCCCCAAATATAAAATACATAGCATTTTATGAGTAGATTTTGAAGGCTTATATTTCATTAATTTTATTTTTAAAGAGAATTTTTTTTTATTGGTAGATAGTCAATTACCTGAGTAATCTAAATCTACAAAATTTTAAAATAAATAATTTTTTTCTAAAAAGTTTTATATAAACAACGCTTAGGTGCGTCATAATACCTCCCTCCCTTAGATCATACCGAAATTGCAAACTTAGTCGAATTGGTTAAAAAAATCATTTGACCAATTTTTATCAGATGTTTTAGAAATTATGAAAATAGCTGTAACATTTAAATTTTAAATTTCACAATTTGGCTTTTATGACCTGGCTGGGTTATGAAAACCAATTCATAAATTTTATATAGCCTAAGCTAATAGATTTTATAGTTACAACTGTTTTCATAAATTTTGGAACACTGAAAAAGTTGCCGATGACCAAATCGATAAGTTACCAAATCGGAATCAATAAGCAACAGATTCGGCCGAACTCGGAAACTTATCATCAGCAATTTTCAGTTGTTCCAGAATTTATAAATTTATAAAAACAGCTATAACTAGAGTTTGCAATGGGCCGGGCCAAACCTGGCAATTTGTGGGTTGGGCTGGGCTTGAGCCTAAATTTTAAGCCCATGATTAATTGGGCTGGGTTCGGGTTGGGCTTGTAAAATAGTGGGCCAGGCCTGGGTATTATAAAGAGGTTCGATAAGGCCCGGTAAAACCTGTTAAAAATATACAATTCCTAATAGGAAGACATTTATATGATTGGTTAATTTTTGTAGTTATACTTATAATAATTAATCAATCAAATACATAATTTTTAATTAATACTACGATAATTAGAAAACGAAAGAAAGAAGCTTACAAACTAATAAATGCATGCAAAAGAACTTATTATTAATATGTAGATAATAGATAGATATGCGTAAAGTGGGCAAATAAGATATTTATTATTAATAAACCAAAACTATTAAAAAATTACTATATAAGATATAAATTAAACCTATTAAAACTTTAACTACTAATTTACGTTGACAAGCTCAAACACACTACAAAAACCGACCAAATTTAAATATTAAGCAGTTAAAAATAAAAGCTTATTTAAATCTAATGTAATGAAATAGTTTTAAATAAAAACATTTCTGGTTACTTTCACTCTATAGTATAGTTTGATATAATCCAATAAGCGGTAGGCATATTTTGCCTTCTAAGTAAATTTTGTAGATGTTCTATTGAAGATGATTTTTTATTAGTAAAGCATAAGTTACTCTATAAGGCCTATCATGTATTTACAGCTATTATCATTCTTTATTACAGTTGATAATCAAATAGTAATCAGACATCAATAGCTTTTATATATTGATCATTGCTATCAAATTGACAGAATAACTATTTGATTAAAATTACACATAGAGTGTGCGATGGGCTGAGCCAAACCCAGTAATTTGTGGGTTGGGCCGGTCTCGGGCCTAAATTTTTAGGCACATAATAAATTGAGCTGGGTCTGAGCTGGGCTTATAATTTAACGGCCCAGGCCCGGGCCTAGATTTTAGGCCCACAATAAATTGTGTTGGGCCTGGGTTGGGTTTATAATTTAACGGGCCGGGCTTGGGCCCAGGCAAACCCGGCCCAACCCAGCCTATTAAGAACCCTAGCTATAACATATAGACACATAATAACATGCATCTGCATGATATTTGTGCGTTATCCCAAAATATACATACACAATAGCTCGAATCACTATTCTAATTTTGAAGAAAAAACTTTAACTACTAAAAACTTTCCTAAAAATATATATATAGGGCGTGTTATTTTGAGTCAAATATGTAATTTTCAAAAAAAATAGAGTTTCAAAATAATGCTCATTATGTGCGTTATTACGCACCTATATGGTATAAACTAAAAGCAAACAAAATAAAGTTAATTGTAAATATTCATAAACTCGAGTGGAATGCTTAGATCAATAAATTTTCATCATACTCACCTAAGTCAATGCAAACAAAATAATATTAAAAAATAAATAGTCATGAACTTGAATAGCTTATTTTGATAATTTTTTATAATCACATGCTAAATTAAATGAATAAAATAAAATTATATAGTAAATATTCATGAATTTGAGTAGTTGATTTTGAACATTTTGATCAATAAATTTTTATTATACTTGTCTAAGTTAATATGAATAAAATGAGATTGAATAGTAATGAATCAATAATTTATTTAAACTTATAGTTACAAAAAAAATTAAAGCAAACAAAATAAAGTTAAATAGTAAATATTCATAAAATTGAATGGCTTATTTTTAAAACACATAGATCAATAAATTTTTATCATACTTACCTAAGTTAATGCAAAAAATATAAAATTGAATAGTAAATAGTCTAAATTAAAGCAAGCAAAATGAAATTAGTAAATATTCATGAATGAACTTGAGTAGTTTATTTTAAATACTTAGATCAATAAATTTTTATCATACTTACCTGAATTAATATGAACAAAATAAAATTTTCTTTATAGTCACATACTAAATTAAAATAAATAAAGTGAAAATAAAAAGTAAATATTCATAAACTTGACTAGCCTATTTTAAACATATACAGTAAATCAATAAATTTTTATTATACTTATCTAAAGTTGACAAAAATAAAATCAAATAATAAATAGTTATAAATTTTTTTATAATCATGCAAAGTATATCAGGGTGGCCCCCTAAAGTCCGGGTTGATGATCGATATCAGATTGATAATTGATGTTGGTTTGATAATTAACATTGCTGCTGCAGTGATAATTGACATCACTTCTGCAGATATCAGGGTGGTCTGCCAAAGTCCAGGCCAATGATCAATCCTGACTTTTGGGGGCTGCCCTGATATATTCTACACAGAATTAAAGTGAAATAAAATTAAATCATAAACATTCATGAACTTAAGCAATTTATTTTACTGCCCCTATACTCTGAACAGTATGAAAGAACTTAATAGTTTATTTTAAATATATAGATGAATTTTCTTTGTTGTTGTGAACAATATTATAGCAAATAAATAAAATTAATAAATATTTATAAACTTTAAGTGGTTTATTTTAAATACTTAGATTATTTTAAATAAATTATTTTGAATACTTAGATCAATAAATTTTTATTATACTTGTCTAAATTAATATAAACAAAATTAAATTGAATAATAATGAACCAGAATAACTTATTTAAACACATAGATTGATTAATTTCCTTATAGTCATGCACTAAATTAAAACAAATAAGAAAAAATCAAATCATAAAATTAAATCATAAGTATTTATGAACACTTAAGTTAATAAATTTTATTGTACTCACCTAAATTAATACAAATAATATAAAATTGAATATAAATAGTCATGAACCGAATAGCTTATTTTGAATACTCAGATCGATAGTCTTCTTTATAGTTATGAACTAAATTAAAGCAAATGAAATTAAAAATTAATAAATATTTAACAATTGTGATAAATGTGAATAAACTACAATTGCCACTTGCTTTCTTGGTGTAATGAACTTACATGGCTTATTTAAAATACTTGGATCAATAAATTTTCAACATATTTGCCCAAGTTAATATAAACAAAACGAATTGTATAGTAAATAGACATAAATATAAATAATATTATTTTAAACACAGATTATGGGTATAGTCGACCAAATCTGTATTTACTAGTTTAATTATTCATAACCTTTTAAGATCTAGTTATCTGATTTTAACCATTTGAATTGTCTTAATGAGACGATTCAAATAATATTAAATCTATCAAAATCGAATAACTAGATTTTAAGAGATTATGATTTGATCAAACTAATAATTAACTAGTAAATAAATACAAATTTGGCCAACCATATACATAATATATATAAATTTCTTTAAGTTATGCACTAAGTTAAAATGAATAAAATTAAATTAATAAATGTTTATAACTTATTTTAAACACATAAATCAATAAATTTTAACCATACTTATCTAAGATAATGTGAACAAAATTATTAAATTGTAAATTTTATAAGCCCAAATAACATATTTAAATATATAAATCGATAAATTTTTATTGTAGTTACAAACTAAATTAAAGCAAATAAAATGAAATTAAATAATAAGCACTTATAAACTTGAGTGGTACAAATTAAAACTAGTAAATAGTTATAAGCCCGAATAGTATATTTTAAATATATAGATTAATAAACTTGCTTTATAGCCATGTACAAATTAAAGCAGACAAAATGAGTTTAAATAATTAATAGTCAAGAACTTAAATTACTTTAAAATTTAATTCTAATTACACTATTTATGCAACGCAGTCATGTTGTATATCCTAATTTTAACTAAATACCCAGCACTACAACTTTCTGGGAACTCAATCAGCTCATATATATACTAGAATAAACAAAATTCACATGTTGTATGTATAAATAAATATTTACTGATTTAGCTGTTTCTTTTTTTGGATTTGTGTATTTTATTTCGATCTTATTTTTTTAGATTCATGTTTTTATTTTGAAACTATTTTGGATTATTTACTTGTTAAATAATAAATTTTTTTACATGTTCATTTTATAAAATTTTTTATATATAAAGGCATGAAAAATCTCTCTGTAAACTTCATGGTTTGAAAAATATATTTTTGTATTAAAAAAGAAAATTAAATATTTTTAATGCTATAATGCCAAAAGAATTTAAATACTTTCAACCTGAAACTCTATCTAATTATTAAAAAAACAAGAAGAAATTTTGTATATAATAAAAAGATAAGTATAAATAATTTATATAATTTTGGTAATTATGAAATTTTGATATTATTATTTTAAGATACTAATAAAATAAAATCTTTTTTTTTATTTTATAATATAAATAGTAAAAACATATCTGGGTTGAAGGTGGTTTAAATTCAAATAATTGGCATTAATAAAAACATTTAAAAACCTTTCTTTATATAAACACAAAAATTGAATTCAAATCATCATTTATATATGGCATGCCATAAATACAAGTTACTCTTTATAATAAATAATTTGGCAAAAAGATTTTCTTTAATACAAAATACTCTCATTGTGAACCTCTTAATATAGTGAATTAAAAGACTCTCAAAATAAAAAAGAAAATCTTAAAGCCAA